AGGGAGAGGAAGAACTAGGCGGGGAAATGGAAAGGGAGGGGGGAAACGGGGAGGGGGGGAGAGTAAGGGCAAGGGAGAAGGGAAACTAGGCGGGAAATGAGGGGGGAGGGGGAGGGGGAGGGGATGAAGTTGGGTAGATGAGATAGGCAGTTGGAAAACAGAAAAAAAGAAAAATCGAAGATAAGAGATCAAATACGCAGTCAGAAAACAGAAATTGAAAAAAAGAAAAAAGAAAAAAAAGAAGAAGGAGGAAAAGTTAAGAAAAGAAGAGTGAAAGAAAGAAAAGGAAAAAGGATAGAGGGAGGAACTTACAAAAGGGTGGGGGTGGGTGGGGTGGAGTTATGAAGTGGGAAGGGGAAAGAGGGTAATGGAGGGGGGGGCGTGTTCCCAGGGTCTCCCACTTTCCTCAGGTTACACCGAAATCTGTCAAAGGCGTTTTACTCAGTGGGGGATGAGTCTATGGCGTTCGAGCTCCTCTCTCTCTCTTTATCGGACCTCTCTCTCTCTTCTTTATCTGTCTCTCTCCTTCTCTCTATTTCTTTCGTTCTCTTGCTTTCTCTCTCTCTCTCTCTCTCTTCTCTCTTCCTCTCTCTCTCATCTCTCTCTCTCTCTCTTCTCTCTCCTCTCTCTCTCTCATCTCTCTCTCTCTCTTAATTCTCAATTACGTTCCATCTTATTTCTCTAGGTCTTCTAAGAAATGAGCAAAAGAAGAACAGATATAGAGAATGCGAGAGAGAGAAAGAAGGAACAAACAGAAAGAAGGAGACGAGGGAAACAGAGAAAAAAAATCACAAGAGAAACGCGAAAAACAAAAACTAGAGAAAAATGCTATTTACTCGCCACGAAAATTGCAACCGAATGCACAGTAAACACGGCAGGTTAATGTTGAAATACAAAATCGACCCGAAAAGAAAAAGAAAAGAAAAGAAGAAGAAAAAAGAAAGAAAAGAAGAAGAAAAGAAGAAAAAGAAAAAGAAGAAAGAAAGAAAAGAAGAAGAAAGAAGAAGAAGAAGAAGAAGAAGAAGAAGAAGAAGAAGAAGAAGAAGAAGAAGAAGAAGAAGATTAAGAAGAAGAAGAAGATTAAGAAGAAGAAGAAAAAAAGAAAAAGAAAAAAGAAAAGAAGAAGAAGAAGAAGAAGAAGAAGAAGAAGAAAAGAAGAAGAAAAGAAGAAAAAGAAAAGAAGAGAATAAAAAAATCTCAGCGAAAAATGATCAGTAATTGCATTTTACAATCACGGTTTCCTCCTCCAGCGGATGGGGATCGGAGGTCGGATGTCGTCTCGTGTTTTGGTTGGTAGCGCTGCGGTTAGGGTGATTTTTGTCCGTTTTCTGAAGGACAACGTCGACAGCATCATCATCATCGGTACCCTGAGCATTATTGTCGTTTTCATTGTTATTATTATCATTACTCATTATCATTTTTCTCTCTTTCTTCTTCTTCTTCTTCTTCTTCTCTTCGTCGTCGTCGTCGTCGTCGTCGTCGTCCTCTCTCCTCCTCTCCCTCCTCCTCATCATCATCATCATCATCAATCATCATCATCATCATCATCATCATCATCAATTCATCATCATCATCTCATCATTCTACTCTCACAGATGTACGTTATTAAAAGCATAAGTAGAATTTGTAAACAAAGAATAGCGTTGAAAAGAGAAAAGCCACACTGGGAATAATAAGGTTTCTAAAGAAGGAAAACTAAGATAGAGAGAGCTAATCATTATAAAAGTCACTCAAGATAGATAAATAGATTGGCTGGGACATTTACGAAACTGGAAACGTAGCTGTAAAATAAAGAGAACAGAGGAGAGAGAGAGAGAGAAGAGAGAGAGAGAGAGAGAGAGAGAGAGAGAGAGAGAGAGAGAGAGAGAGAGAGATGGTGTTCGATGTCAAGAACTTTAAGAAGACAAAAAAAAAAAAAAAAAAAAAAAAAAAAATGGGCGCATCTTCTCTGGCATTTAAAATGAGGTTCTTTTTCGGGAAATTCTCTCGAGGGGTCGAAGAAGGGTGGGGTAGGGGGGGGGGGTGAGAGTCTGTTTGTTCGAGCAAAGATTCCTGGAAGACAAATAAAGACAAGAACACAGATCGCGAAAAGAAAATAATCATCCCTGAAGCCTCATCAAATTCCAAAGAAAAAAAGAAGAAAAAAGACGCAAATTCCCAAAAAAATGCTCGCCAAATTCCAAAGAAAACAGGCTTAAATTCCCGAAAGCTCCGCCATTAACAGTCTCCTTTCTAAAAGCCTCCCCCCGCCCCCCCTCCCCCTCCCAGATTCCTCCCTTAATGAGAAGATTCCTTTAAAAAGCTCCATCCCGAGACGCGGCGAGAGCTTCCTGCGCGAAAGGTCACTGTGCCTTTAAGAGGAACGGTCCGGCGTAAAGAGGACCTTCCTGAAGACTAATCGCCTTAAAGAGGACCGCCTGGACGCAGCATTACTTAAAGAGGACCTGGCCTTAAGGTCCCTTGGGCTGAGGCTGCAAAGAGGAACCCATTTCCTAAAAAAAATAACAACAAAAATAAACTTTTAGGTGTTTTTCGCATTGCAAAAGATGCCATGTTGAGACTGCAACCTGGACGTTCCCCTTTTAGCGCGAGGGACCTGCTGGGCGCCGTTCTGGGCCGCGTATCGATTGCCTCGGATTGCGAAATCGATGGGCGTCCAAGGTCATGACCTGCGGAAGGAGACGCCCGGGGATCAGGTCAGGGATTGCTTTGTTTGTTTGCCTTTCTTGCTTTGCGTCTACGTCTTTATTTATGTGTTTGTATGCTTGCTTACGCTTTTCATTCATTCTTTCTCTCACTGTCTGTCTGTCTCTGCCTCTACCACTGTATATAAACTACGAATGAATGATTCGTAAACCATTGCCAATCCTCTTTTTTCTCCTTTCCCTTCCTTCTTTTGCAAGCATTTCATTCTCTTCCTCATTATCTCCCCTTGTTTCTTCCTCCTTCACCCCCTCCTCCCTCCCTCGCAGCCTCATCTTCCATCATAAAACTAAAAGTGCCAAATAGTTAATGACTCGAAATACTCCCGCAACCAGTTTTTGCCTCCGCAGCCGGACCAGACGATCCGGATGCCGAGTCCAGACTGACGGGCGAGGGGGTTGGGGGGGTAGGTGTGTCACGGTTGTTTCAGGAGGTCGTTTTGTCACGCTTGTCAGGCTGGGGGTCGTGTTATCACGCTTCTCTCAGGGGGGTCATTTGGTCACGTTTACTTTTGCATGCCGCGCACCAGTCGATACTTTTGTTCAGTCAGGCTTGCAGGGGCACAAAAACACACGGATGTATGAACGCTCACCAACGGTCTCTCTCTCTCTCTCTCTCTCTCTCTCTCTCTCTCTCTCTCTCTCTCTCTCTCTCTATATATATATATATATATATATATATATAATATATATATACACACACACACACACACACAACACACACACACACACACACACACACACACACAACACACACACACACACACACACACACACACACACCTTCCCCCCCCCTCCCCTACTTCCCACACACCCACGCACCAACTCTCTCACGCACACAATGCACACACACATAAACACCCACACGCACACGCACACACCCGGCCATTAGTCTGGATGATGCCCGACTCATCTCACGGCGAAACGTCAGCTGGGTGATGCTGCATCTCGGCGCGCTGCTGCGGTTGGGGTGAGGGGGGTGTTGAAGCTGGGTGGGTGTGGGGGGTGTTGAGGCGGGTGGTTTGGGGGGGGTTTGAGGCGGGGGTGGTGGGGGGGGGGAGGCGATCCGCAGGTTCTCATCGGTGGGTGATTGATTAGGGGGGGGGGAGGAGGAGGGTGAGAAGTGGTAGGAGGGGGAAGGAAAAGAGGAGAGGAGAGGGGTAGGAGGGGGAAATAGGGGAAGGAGGGAGAGAAAGGGGAAGGGGGAGGGGGAATTTGGATAGGAGGGGGTAGGAAGGGTTAGGAGGGGGGAGAGAGCTAGGAGGGGGGAAACGGGGGAAGGAGGAGGGAGAGATTTGGATAGGAAGTGGTAGGAAGGATAGGAAGGTTAGGAGAGGGGAGAGGGGGTAGAGGGGTTTGGAAAGGAGGGGATGAGAGTGAAGTGGTTTGGGGAGGAGGGGGAGGGGGAGGAAGGTAGAGAAAGGAGGGGAGAAGATGGAATTAATGAAAACAGTGAGAACAGGCAACGGCAGAACGAGAGGCGCAGGGAAGGAGAAGGAAGAGGAAACACCTCTCTTCACAAACGTAGATCACCTTGAGACCAAAAGCAAAAAAGTAGATGGAGATAATAAAAAAGTCAACGTAAAAAATAAGGACAAACGACATAATAACACGGTGGTTTTCAGGGCATGTACCCCCCCCCCCACTACAGCTAGTGTCCTCTTCCCTTCCCAACTCCCTCACCATCGCTCCCCTCTTCCCTACTATCTCCCCTTTTCTTCCCCTTCCCCACCATCCCTTCCCTTCCCTTCCCCTTCCCCACCTCCTTCCTCCCCTCCCCCCTCCCACCCCTACCCCTGCCTCCCCCCTTCCCCCACCTCCCACCCCTTCCCCTGCTCCCCCCCTCCCCCCACCCCTTAACCACACCCCCAGAAGGCGAAACATGATCTTTGAGGCGATGTAAGCGACCCGGCCTCTTTGTCACTGATAATGGGGGAGACCGCAATGGGGGGGGAGGGGAGGGTATGAGGGGAGGGGGAGAAAGGGGAGATGGTGGAAGGGGGGCAAGAGGAGGAGGAGGTTAGGAAGAGCGGGAGGAGAAGAAAGAGAGGAAAGAGAGACAGGTGGAGATGGTGGATAGGGGGGAGGAGGAAGAGGAGAGAGAGAGAGAGAGAGAGAGAGAGAGAGAGAGAGAGAGAGAGAGAGAAGAGAGAGAGAGAGAGAGAGAGAGAGAGAGACAGAAAGACAGAAAGAAAGAAAGAAAGAAAGAAAGAAGAAAGGAGACAGACAGACAGACAGACACAGACAAAGAAAGATACAAAGGCAGAGACACAGATAGAAAGAGAAAAAGCGGCAGAGAGGCGAGGGAGAGAAAGGGAAGAGGCAGGCGGATCAGAATGAAGATAATTCCACGCTTTCCGCGACCAATCGACCATAATGGTGTATAATCCGATGTGAGGACGTGATTAAGTCGGCGGTTGCGGGCGGCGCCGTTACCTGCTCGCCGCCCGGGGCCTCGACGCCCGCGCCGCCGTCGGGGGACCTTCGGGGTCCTTCGGGGACTTCGGGGGTCCTTCGGGGGTCCTTCGGGGTCCTTCGGGGTCCTTCGGGTCCTCGGGTCCTCGGGTCTTGGGGTTCGGGGTCCTCGGGGGTCCTTCGGGTCCTTGTCGGGGTCCTTCGGGGTCCTTCGGGGTCCTTCGGGGTCCTCGGGTCCTTCGGGTCCTTCGGGTCCGGGTTCGGGTCCTTCGGGGGTCCTTCGGGTCCTTCGGGTCCCCTCGGGGTCCCTCGGGTCCTTCGGGGTCCTCGGGTCCTTCGGGGTCCCTCGGGTCCTTCGGGGTCCTTCGGGTCCTTCGGCGGACACTGCGGGACTCTCGCTCTCTGCGCTCTGGTTTGTTCGGGTGCATGAGGATGTGTGTGCGGATACGGGCATGGGCGGTGTGTGTTTGTGTATCTGTGCGTCTGCCTGCATGTGTATCGATATCCGTATATGTAGCCTGTGTGTGTTTGTTTATATTTCTGACTTTATGTCTATGTCTGTATCTTTTTATGTGTGGCTTTGTATCTCTTTTGTATATTTACAATTGCCTCTCTTTGTCTTCTTCTTTTCTTCCTTTTTCCTTTTATGCCTTTATTCCAAGCCCTACCTCCCTAAGCACACACACACACACACACATACACACACACACCACACACACACACACACACACACACACACACACACACTCACACACACACACACACACACACACACACACACACACACACACACACACACACACACACACACACACACACACACACACACACACACACACACACACACACACACACACACACACACACACACACAATCTACTCCACGCGCTCTGCAAACCGATAACCAAGATTGCAAAAGGGGGGGGGGAGGGGAGCCTGATCACCCCCGCAGCTGCAATGCAATATTTGATCACCGCAATATTAATACGTAATCTCCATCCCAGCGCTTGCACACCGGGGGAGTCCCGCCCGCGGCCGGCGACTCGGAGGGCGTCTCGCAGCCTGCCAGGGACTGGTGTTCGGTTGTTGTTGTGTTGGTGGTGGTGGTGGTGGTGGTGTGGCTGTCGTTGTTGTTTCTGTTATTAATGCTGTTTTGATGTTATTATTGTTGTGTTGTTGTTTGTTGTTGTCTTGATTTGTTGATTTATTTATTGTTGATAGTGTTCTGTTGTTGTTTTTGCTTGTGCTGTTGTTTTGGATGGGTGGAATACACAATTTGTGAATAAAGAGGAGGGCTAGGGAGATTATGGTAGATGTAGGGTGAAGGAGAAGGGTAGAGAGAGAGAGAGAGAGAGAGAGAGAGAGAGAGAGAGAGAGAGAGAGAGGAGAGAGAGAGAGAGAGAGAGAAGAGCAGAGAAGAGAGAGAGAGGAGAGAGCGAGAGCGAGAGGCGATGCGAGCGAGCGAGCGAGAGCAGACGAGCCTCCAATGAGTGCAATTCACACTCAGACCTCGCTTGGTTTTCGCAATTAACCTCCTCGCGGCGAATGGCTCCCCCGGACGACAAGCCAATTCGGAATCCATTCATAAAAGTCGCCTAATATTGCCGTCGACGGGACTCAACCGACCTGGAAGAGGGTTGCCGGCGCTTTGTTTTATAACACCTCATTTCCCTTCTGTTTCTTTCTCCTTTCTTTCTTTCTTTCTTTCGGTTGCTGTTAGTCTTGCTTCGTTTGGTTCTCTTGTGTTTCTTGTTCTTTCTTTTCTCTCTTTCTTCTTTGCGTTCCTATGTTTATATTTTTTCTACTTTCTCTCTTCGCTCTCGTTTTTTCCATCATGCGGCCATTTCTTTTTCTCGTCCTTTTCTCTCTTTTCATCTGTTCCTTTCCATTCTTCGTCGCATCTCTCTCTCTCTCTCTCTCTCTCTCTCTCTCTCTCTCTCTCTCTCTCTCTCTCTCTCCTCTCTCTCTCTCTCTCTCTCTCTCTCTCTCTCTCTCTCTCTCTCTCTCTGTATGTGTGTGACTCTGCGTCTCTCTTTCTCTGTCTATCTATCTCTCTATCTCTCCCTGCCAATTCGTCCATTCTTCTGCCTCGCTTCTTCCTCCTTTCATCATCCGCGCTGACCGACACACCTCGATTCCGTCTCGGTCGTGAAAGCGAGATGGCGAAACGGAGATGAAAGGAAGGATGGAGAAGGGATGTGGATGCGGGAGTGATGGACAGGTGGAAGGGAGCGCGGGTGATAGACGGGGCGGATAAGATAGCGGGTAGACGGGCAGGGAGGGGGAGGGGGAGGGGAGGGGAGAGGGAGAGCGGAGAGGGGGAGAGGGCAGAGGGAGGAGGAGAGGGAGGGGAGAGGGAGAGGCGAGAGAGAGGAGCAGAGGAGAGAGGAGAGGGAGAGGGAGAGGGAGAGGGAGAGGGAGAGAGAGAGAGAGAGGAAGAGAGGATGAGAGAGAGAGAGAGGGAAGAGGAGAGAGAGAGAGGAGGGAAGAGGGAAGAGAGGAGAGAGAGAAGGAGAGAGGAGAGAGAGGAACGAGAGGGGAGGGGAGGGGGAGGGGGAGGGAGAGGGAGAGGGAGAGGGAGAGGGAGAGGGAGAGGAGAGGGAGAGGAGAGGAGAGAGAGAGAAGAGAGACGAGAAGAGAGAGAGAGAGAGAGAGAGAGAGCGAGAGAGAGATGAGAGAGAGAGAGAGAGCAGGAAGGGGAGGGGGAGGGGAGGGGGAGCGGGGAGGGGCGAGGGGAAGGGGAAGGGGAAGGGAAGGGGAGAGGGAGGGAGAGGGAGAGGAGAGGGAGAGCGAGAGAGAGGGAGGCGGAGAGGGAGGAGGGGAGAGGGAGGAGGGAGAGGGCAGAGGGAGAGGGAGAGGAGAGGGAGAGAGGGAGAGGGAGAGGGAGAGAGAGAGAGAGAGAGAGGAGAGAGAGAGAGAGAGAGAGGAGAGAGAGAGGAGAGAACAAGTAATTCAATGGAAAAATCAGACTTCAAGAGAGGAAGACTATTAAGAAAAAATACAAACATTAAAAAACAAAAAAAAGAAAACCCAAAAACCGACATCCAAGAAGAAAAGTAATTTTTTTTAAAACAAGAAAAAAAAAACAAACAAGCAAGAAAACAAGAAAAAGTAAAAATTCCAAGCCAAATCTCGAGAAAATTATCGCTCCTTCTCCCCTCCCCTCCCCTCCCCTCCCCTCCCCTCCCCCTCCCCCTCCCCCCCCCCCCTCCCCTTGTGTCTCCGTCCGTCATAACATCACAGCGGAGTTATAACAAAGGTCGTTGTGACTCGTTGTATCACTGTCATTATCGGTCAGTCTCTCTCGGATTACACGCCGGGTAATCTCCGGTAATCTTGGTAATCTTGGCGTTTCTTAAGGGTCTGTACGGTAGGTCGGCGGTAGGCCTACGGACCGTAATAGATCACCCTCTACGTGTCTATTATTCATGTTATTTATTTCACCCCCATCTTGTGTGGACTGGGCTGTGGGATTGGACGTCGGGTCGATTTGGGTCTGTTGTGGGTGTGTTTTTTTATTGTTCTTTTTTATTCTTCTTGTTCTTGCTCTTCCTCCTCTTCTTCTTCTTCTTTTCTTTTTCTTCTGCTTCTTCTACTTCTTCTTCTTTCTCTTTTTTTTCTTCTTCTTCTTGCTCTTCCTTTTCGTCTTCTTCTTCTTCCTTTTCTATTTTTTCTTCTTCCTCTTTTCCGTCTTCTTCTTCGTGTCGTTTCACTGCTCTTTCGTGTAGGATTATGGCCTGTGTGAGGTTAAGTAGAAATAAATCGGTGGTCGATATTGATATTGTGATCTAGAGCCTGGAGTGGAAGGGGGGGGGGTTGCAATGCGTAAAGGGGGGGGGGAGGAGAGAGAGGTGTAGTCCCTCCCTCCCTTCCTCCCTTTCTCCCTCCATCTCTCTCTTTCTCTTTCTATTTCTTTCTTTCTTTCTTTCTTTCTTTCTTTCTTTCTTTTCTTTCTTTCTTTCTTTCTTTCTTTCTTTCTCTCTCTCTCTCTCTCTCTCTCTCTCTCTCTCTCTCTCTCTCTCTCTCTCTCTCTCTCTCTCTTCTCTCTCTCTCTCTCTCTCTCTCACACACACACACACACACACACACACACACACACACACACACACACACACACACACACACACACACACACACACACACACACACACACACACACTCACACACACATATTCGTCTTAATTAGCCAATGATAAATCGCAGAGGCTAATCCTCGTGACTCAACGGTAAGGGCAGTGTGTCTTTCTAATCTCCCCCACCCTTCCCCTCCCCTCCACTCCCAATATATCCATTTCCCTCCCCCCTCCCTCTCTACCCCCCCCACTACCTCTATAATGCCCCCTCCCTTTTTCTATACCCCCTCCTCCTCCCTCTCTACCCCCTCTCCACACCCTCCCCCTCCCTCTCTATCCCCCCTCCCCCCCTCCTAAGAACCACCAGTCATAAACAAATCCGAGTAACTATTCCCCGTAAGAGGATTACAGGATTTATTTTTACATTTTTTTGGACATTTTTTTTCTTTTTCGATGTGGCGGCGGGTTCTCTCTCTCTCTCTCTCTGGTATGAAACCGCGTGTTTTCCGATTGGCTTCATTATTTACGAATTTGACTTTTTTTTTTTTTCTCATGATTATTTTGATCTGATTTGCATTTCACTTTGTTACGTTAGAATCGAGTTAATCCAAGTCGATTCCAATGTTAAATGGTGTCAAATCCTCACGCTCGGATAGGAGTACGGATATGAGTGCATGGGTAAATGAGTATGGCCACTGAGTAAATAGATATCCATGGGTATATGAGTCAATGAATATGCGACAGTGAGTAAATTAATATCTCTCCCATCCATGAGTTAAGTAATGTCCATGAGTTAAGTAAATGAGTGGGGAGTCAATGCGGCGAGTAAATAGATATGGATGGTAAATGAGTATATGGGTATTCACAAATATCCATGCGGTAAACAAAATATCCATGGATCAAGTAAACAAATATCCATGGGTAAATGAGTAAACAAATATCCATGGGTAAATAACAAATATCCATGGGTAAATGAGTTAACAAATATCCATGGGTAATGAGTTAAATATCCATGGGAAAATGAGTTAACAAATATCCATGGTAAATAACTTAAAAATATCCATGGGTAAAATGGTTACAATTTCCATGGGTAAATAATTTAACAAATATCCATGGGTAAATGAGTTAACAAATATCCATGGGTAAATAACTTAACAAAATATCCATGGGTCAGTGAGTAAATGAAGCTCCATGGGTAAATGAGTAAATAGATATGGATGGGTAAATGAGTATATTAATATCCGTGGGTCAGTGAGTAAATGAAGCTCCGTGTTAGACTGATCAAACCAACAGGGACCGGGACGGAACGCGCAAGCCTTTCCCGAGCAACTCGACGCCTTTGACGATAATTGCAG